GCTTATGCACCCATTTGTCTTCAGTGATCCGTTCGACACCTCGTGATCACACAGGTTGATATGTTGTTCCATGTGGGCTTTGTTGCTTCTGAACTCTTTAAGAGAGTAGAAAGCTTCATCTTTCTTCCTCAGAATGGCTGGTGTTTTCAGACTGCCAACCTTACAGTTCGGAGGCCAATGTATAAGCACTACACCATCAGGGCTCCAGCAATTAACTACATAGAAGTTTAAAAGAAGTTCAGGGTTTTGGTGTTTTTGTGAAAATGCCATGATCACAACATATCAATGGGATCTGGTATCAGGCATCAGAAGACCCAAAACAGACAACCACTTTTATGTAAATGAGGAGGGTCTCAAGGAGGGGAGACCCAAAGCCCATCTGTAGATAATAGGACATCCCATCACAGAAGGGCCACAAGAAAGGAGACAAGTCTGCCAATATAGCACCTACGAAACACACAACATTCCTCTACTTCTTTAATGCTCTCCCCCACCCCCCACCCCCACACACGCACACTATCATGACCCCAGTACGACCTTACAAATCTGGCTAGACCAGAACATGTACACTGGTAAAGATAAGAGCTCTCGACACAGAATCCGGGACAGATAAACTCTTCAGGACCGATAATGAGAGCAGTGATACCGTGAGAGTAGGGAAGGTGGGGAGAAGGGGAGAAAGGGGGAACCGATACAATTGACAAACAACAGAAACATTTGTGAAGGGAGGCAGCGGATGGTGTAAAATATGAAAATAAAAATAATTTATAAATTACCAAGAGTTCACAAGGGTGAGAGCGGGAGGGGAAAAAAGGAAATAATAGCAAGGGCTCAAGAAGAAAGAAAAGCTTTGGAAATGATGATGGCAACTTATGTACAAATGTGCTTGATACAATTGATGTATGAATTGTTATAAGAGCTGGAAGAACCCCCCATAAAATCATTTATTAAAATAAATAAAATAAAAAGAAAATACTAGTCTTATAGATTCATCTCAAAAACATCTTAACAAGTTATTAATAATTGGTTGAAGTTTAATGAAAATTATAATAAAAATTAAAGCTAGAATGCACACATAAAAAAGTAAAGTACGGGCCATATTAAAAGAATAAAGCACCAAAAATTTCACTTACAGTTCATCCCATTTGATAAGATAGAAGAAATTCTTGTAAGTGCCAACCTTCTTTGATTGGATAGGTTTAAAAAGATCTTTTCCATTATGAGACAGGGAACATATCAAGTAGTATTTTTCATAACTGAGAAAAGAAATAGTTTAACTTTATTTGCATATTACAGATTGGTCAATAAATACAAATACATATTATTAACAGTTCTTCCCCCAAAGTATTATCTAAATAATGTGATGATTACAATCCACTTGATTTTTAGAAACTGATCTAAGTCTAGCCATTGTAAACCCTATAAAATAAGAGGAGTAGCAAAGAGGGTACAGAAGTTAACACACAGCTTAATAACCAAAGTTGAACAATTTGTTTAAATTTTGTATACAGCTATAGTTATCAGCCTTCTATTTTAGTTGAATAATACTAAATACTGGTTAATTTTTTTCCCTTCTCTGAAAAGAGTAGGAAGAAAAAACAAACATTACCCTCACTGACTATCTTCCTTTGCTCAGCCACTAAAACAGAGCTAAACTAAGTGTAGTTAGTGAATAAGCCTGACTTGCATTGAGCCAGTCCTTCTAGTATACCGGGAATCCTGCATCCAGAGATAGCTGCTGTTGTATTCTCTCAACAGAAAGCAGTGACTTAGTTCCTAATTGCCACAAGTACAAAGCCTGTTAAGGACAATCAAATAATCTTCTAAGGTAGAAATCTTAAAATTCACAAAGACCATGTATACCAATGTAAATTGTAGCACTATTCACAGAAGCCACAAAGTGAACAGAGCCTAAATAATCCATCAAAAGATGAAATGGATACACAAATGTAGTACACACACACACACACATACACACACGCGTGCGGAGCAGGATGCCCCCCCTCAAAAAAAAACCAGAATCACACCCCCCCAAAGCTATGTACCATATATACTTATATATAAGCCGAGTTTTTCAGCATATTTTTTAATGCAGTTTTTGTGGTAAAATCAGGTGCTTTGGCTAATATTTGGGTTGGCTTATACTCAAGTATATATGGTATTTAATTTTTTTTTTTACAAAACAACCTTAACAGGCTTCAAACTACTCTCCATTACACTTAATACATCTGCCAAATCTGTGATTCCATTCTTGGAAACATTTTTCAAATTCATCTATTTGGATGGCTGATAGCACCTCCCTCATTTTTTTCTTCACCTCTTCTATGTTGTCAAATCACTGTCATTTCATGTCCCTCTTCATTAAAGGAAACAAAAAGAAGTCACACTGAGTGAGGTCAGGTGAGTATGGTGCATGGGGCAAGAGAGGCATGCTGTTTTTTGCTAAAAACTTGCACACCAATTTGGCTGCATGAGCAGGCACACTGTTATGGTGGCAAAACCAGCCCCCCTCCTGCCACAAATCAGAATATTTTGTCGCACACTGTTGTGCAGTCGTTTTAGAACCTCTAAATAGAGAGCTTGATTAACAGTCTGACCGGGTGAAACAAACTCCAAATGCACTTTGAGTCAAAATTTTCAGGAAGGTGGCAGACATCCAGAACGAGGTTTGTCATCAATCAAGAAACGAGAAAACCACTCAGACACTTGAGCTTTTCCCACAGTGCTGTAAGCTCTTGTAAGCTCTCTTCAATATCACAACAGTTTCTGCAGCATTACTCCCAAGCAAGCAACAAACTATCACAACCACATGCTGTACTCTTAAACTGGCCATCACAAAAAATGAGGTTCAAGCAAAACTGCTTTTATGAAAAACTTCACTGTCACCAGAGAACCTTCCCAGGTGAAGCCACTGGATGCACTAACTCAGAAAGAGTTGCTTGCTGCTCGCCAAGCAGGTGCCTAACACACACACACAACAGAATACTACTCAACCATGAAGAAACAGTACGTTCTAAAATGTGCTACCATATAGATGAACTCTGAAAACAATATGCTGAATGAAATAAGTCCATCACAACAAGGGTAAATATTGTATAATCCCACTTATATAAAATATCTAGAGTAGGTAAGTAACTAGAAACCCAAGTTAATTAGCAGTGCCCAGAAATAGGCAGGACAAAAGGGGAAAGAAGGACAGAGACACACGTTTCTTGAAGGGTAGTGTTTGAAAAACAGATGAACATAATAAATGTTACTAAACCTGGCATGTAAAGACAGCTGAATTGGAACTGTTTTATTATATACTGACCACAAACAACTTGTATTCTTACTCACTGCTAGGCTTCCATGTCTAACTTCTTTGTTCAAATATATAATCTATTATAATTCTAAATATATTTAAAAGGCTAATCTTTTTGGTTTATAAAATACCCATACCTACTGGATTTTATTTGTCAATCTGATTCCATTTTCCTCTATTTACTTTGGCATTATATTAACTTTCTTTCCATCTTGATTTTCATTGCTGTTTTTTGTATTGTCTTCTACTGGGCATTCGTCTTCCTTGCCAATGTCTCTAAATTTATTTGTGTCTGTGTCTATAGGGAAAGGACATAGACAGCAGTGCCTATTTCACTGAAAGTCCAATGAGGGCAAGGTTTTTTTGTCGTTGCCTGCATCCTGCTGTATCCTAAGTACTAGGAATACTGTCCATAGTTGGTACTCATTAAATATTTATTCAATGAACTAATGTACCATTTTCAAGTCACATTACTCATTAAAATTTTTATAACTTAAAGCCCAATTTAAGCAGAATTTATATTTGCTAAATCTTCACTAAGAAATACTTTCTTTTCTAACTGTAAGCTACTAAGAAACTATTTCATAAATACTCTTTTCAGATTTTTTGTAGGTTATTTTAGTAAATTACAGTAAGTTGAAATAGCCATTTACTATAATGTCTTGGTGACACTGACAAAAATAAAAAGGGGAAGCCTATCATTAAAAAAATGTAATGAAAGAAAACAATACTTTTGAGACTTCAATCGCTAGCAGTAAAAATAACTATAAACCAGCCAAATCTATTCCTATTAAAGTATCTCTGGTATTAAAGGAAAGATAGAAGGAATTATAGCCTTAAATTAACTAATTTAATAGCATTTATTCTTCTAAGGTTTCAACAAATATTTTCCTGCCTTTCCTTACAAGTATCAACCGTTTTACTAGGAGAGCTTCACACATCTCTGTAATTTTTATGAAAACAACAAAATTACACAGTGATTCTCATATCACCCATTTAAATTCCAAGACAACAGTGGGCTATTTTACAAGATTAGAATAACTTCTAGGTAAAGCTGTATATGTTTTCTTTTAAGTAGGTACTTACTTTGATACCCAGGTACTTGAAATTCCATGTGCAGCAAAAATAGTAAACTGGAGTTGCTCTGTTGTGGTCCATGCTTCCTTGATGTTCCTATTACTTGGGGCACAATCTGCAGGGCTGCTATCAGCATTTGAATGCAGTTTGAGAAGATCATAAACTGCTACAGTTAATTGGTCCATGCTCACTTGAACAGGATTTTCAGGATTCAGTGAGACTAGGTTTAGAAAAATGTGTTTATATCGTTATCTGAATAAGCAACAATTATTGTTAAAACTCAAAGAACGAAAAGACACACCTCTGGCTGAACTCTTGCTAGTATCCCCTCCTCCAGACAATGAAGGCACCTGCACATACATACACAAATCTGTCAGCGATAATACATATGTTTGCCTTAACTTCATTAATTTAATTATTTCTATGTCAAAGAAACATCCCCAGGGAGAAGCCTTCCAAAAGTATATATAAACATAATAAAACAATAAAGATTTCACATAAAGTTAAAAGGTCACACCAAAGAAAAAGATGGTTTTTAGTATCAATAAAATCATAGCGCAGGGTGATCCCCTTGCAGAGGGGTCTCGGGGAGGAGATGAGCCAGTCAGGGTGCGATGTAATAATGATGAGAAATACAACCTTCCTCTAGTTCCAAAATATTTCCTCCCCGCTCCCACTACCATGACTCAAATTCGATCTTGCAAGACTGGCTAGACCAGAGGAGCTACAATGGTACAGATAGGAACTGAAAATACAGGGAATCCAGGACGGATGAGCCCTATAGGACCAGTGGTGTGAGTGGCAAAACAGGGAGGGTAAAGGGAGAGTGGGTAGGAAAGAGGGAACCGATTACATGGAACTGTGTGTGACCTCCTCCCTGGGGGACAGACAACCAAAAAGTGGATGAAGGGAGACGTCGGACAGGGCAAGATATGACAAAATACCCATTTATAAACTATCAAGGGCTCATGCGGGAGGGGGGAGCGGGGAGGGAGGGGAAAAATGAGGACCTAATGTCGGGGGTTTAAATGGAGAGAAAATGTTTTGAGAAACGATGTACAAATGCGCTTTACACAATTGATGTGTGTATGGATTGGGATAACAGTTGTATGAGCCCCTAATAAAATGTTAAAAAAGAAAGAAAAAAAAAATCCATGTTATCAACAATGATAAAAAAAATAAAAAAAAAATCATAGCGCAGGGAAGGGGGGTGGGATGCTCTAAAATTGATATGGTAATGATTGTACAATTCCCCTTGATATGATTGAACAATTGAATTAAAAAAAACTGAAGAAAAAAAAGGTGAAACAAAAAAATCATAAAGCAATATGGAAACAATATGCTTCAACAAACAATTGAGTAGTTAATGTTAATTTGAAACCCAGATGTGATAAATACACTCATATAGTACTTTTATTTTTTCATTAGTTTCTCTAGTGTGAGTATTGTAAGGATACTCTTAAAGAAACTAGAATTCTATAACTTATGACAACACTATAATAATTTATGAATTATGAAGGGTTCAGGAGGGAGGGGGCAGGAAGGCGGAAAATGAGCAAAAGATATTAAGGACTAAAGTAGAGGGCAAGTGTTTTGAGATTGATGAAGGAAACAGGTGTACATACGTGCTTGACTCAATGGATATATGTATGGACTGTGATAAGAATTGTACGAGCCCTCAATAAAATAATTTTTTTAAAAAGAAACTAGAAATCTATTTATTACTACTTGGTGACTAAAACAAGCTCAGAAATTGCTTTAATTTCTCCTCTCATCTGCTCTCTGCTCCTTTAATGCATCGCATGAGTAATAGTTGCCTCAGACTATAAAGGAGTCACCACAGACGCTGATCACATCTATGTGATTTCACATGCTATTTAATTTCTAAAAGCAAGCACGTAATCAGGAAGAAGGACACAGAGTCCCAGATCTTTATGGATAGACCATATGGACAGGGTTTGCTATGCGAGTGACTAGACTGAGATATCCATCTCCTTAGGGAAACAACATCATCATGAACTTTTCTTTCATTTGCATTTATGGTGGCTACGAGATCTGCTTTCTCACTCTACTAATCAAAACTATAAACATCCCCATGAGCAGGGTTAATTAAATCTCCCCAGAACTACAAGGAGAAAGCTGATTTACTAAAAGGAAGAAGTTCCTATCAAGAAAGAGTTCCTAGATTGATGGCTCAGGCCAACAGTTACTACTATGGAAACTTCTGGGTTTTTTTCAACAGGGAGGTAACATGATGCAAAGTAGAACTTCCTCCACAAGCAATCATGGACATTTCCGTCCACACGGCAGGTAGTAGCTAATACAGTTCCAGACTCCGAAGCTCCTAAGATCTCCAACCAACACGTCTGTGCCAGTCTCTCCTTATATACACAATATTCCCAGGGTGGTGTCCACTCGCTACATAGCAAGTACCAGAAGACAGCTCAGGAAGCCTATCTCCTCTAAAATTCTCAGCTTTACCAAACAACCAACCAATTCAACTCAAAAGGGAAAACGTAATGTATGATGATAAAGTTTTGTCCATCAGAACTGAGGCAAAAACTGAGGGTAAATTCTAAGTATAGATTTATATGTAATAAAATACTAGTTACAAAACCCCCCAAAACACTCACTTCAGCACTTTTACTCCGTGGAAGATTAACTGCTCTTCTTAGCTTCTTTACTGATTCTGTAACGGCAAGCGTCTCCACACCGTCTAAAGCACTGCAGATTTTTCTGACAGCTTTAATTACTTGATCTACTGCTCGGTGCTGGTTCTTTGAAAATAAAAGGTTAAAATTAGCAAATGAAATTTAAAGAATCAACATCAGAGATTAAATATGAAACTAGACATTTTAAGTGTACTTGAGAACAGATTTTTTTTTTTTACTATTTTGTGAATTTAAAAAGAAACTACTTATGAGCAACTGATATTAAGGGCTGAGGTGGAGGGCAAATGTTTTGAGAATGATGAGGGCAGCGAATGTACATATGTGCTTGACACAATGGATGGGTGTATGGATTGTGATGAGAATTGTACGAGCCCCCAATAAAATAATAAAAAACTTTTTAAAAAAGTAAATGTCTAGAAAAGAATAATGGCAACATATGTAGAAATATGCTTGATACAACTGATGTATGGATTGTTATAAGAGTTGGGAATGATGAGGGCAATGAATGTACAAATGTGCTTCACACAATTGATGTATGTATGGATTGTGAGAAGAGTTGTATGAGCCCCTAATAAAATGATTAAAAAAAAAAAGAAACTAGTTAACTTTTTAATTACATGGTTTATTTTGAAGTTCGCAAAAGCAAGGCCTGGTCGATTTTGATGTTGCGTGACACACCTTTCATATGCAAATACCATGTGCATCAGAAATAATAAACCATAAAAAGGGGAGGTTATATTTTTAATTATTTTTTGGCAATCATTCAAGACATTAAAAAATAACAATTAAAAAACAAAAACAATTTGTTCCCTACTATTAAGCTTCATTTGTATCCATATAGCCATCATTTTGTAAGTCTTATCTGTTCAACAAATTTCCTTGTGAAAAATTCTGCTACAACTACATTTGTTATTATTACCAAGATTAAAAAATATACATGAGCTAGTACATTTTAAAATCATCTGCCTCTCCTATTATCCTTTAAAGTACCCTATCTTATTAAGACACATTCTCGTGGAGGGAGGGTGGGGTGGAAAGGGGGAACTGATTACAGGGATCTACATACAACCTCCTCCCGGGGGATGGACAGCAGAAAAGAGGGTGAAGGGAGGCATCGGACAGTGTAAGATATGACAAAATAATAATTTATAAATTATCAAGGGTTCATGAGGGAGGGGGGCCAGGGAGGGAGGGGAAAAATGAGGACTGATGCCAAGGGCTTAAATGGAGAGCAAATGTTTTGAAAATGATGAGGGCAATGAATGTACAAAAGTGTTTTACACAATTGATGTATGTATGGATTGTGATAAGAGATGTATATGCCCCCAATAAAATGATTTAAAAAAACATTCTCTTTATTTTATTGTGGTAAATATATTACATAAAATTTGCCATTTGACGTCAACAATTCAATAATATCAATTACATTCACCATGCTGTACAACCATCATCATCATTTATTTTTAGGCAATTGCATCACACTAAACCAAAAATCAATATCCTTAAGAAACAACCCCTATTCCTTCCTTCTCCTTGCCCCTGGTAAATATTAATGAACTACTCTTTATGCATTTGCTAACTCTAGGTATGACATATAAGTGGAATCACAAATATCTATTTTTTTGTGTGGTTGACATAGCACAATGTAGAAACATTTGCATATATCTAATTAAACATTTACACCAAACTTAATAGGCTAAGTACTACTGTTTAAAGGGGATGAAACTCAGTACTGTACCATCCCTTAAAAATTTAAAATGTTCCACCTCTTGTGACTTGGCTACCATGAACTGGACGTTCCCTTCACCGTGGGCTTAAATGAAATTACCCCACTTCCTGAAACATTTAATTAGCCTGCAGTCAGTCCTCAGTGGCTAAAAGTCTGTTTTCTAGTTTCCAAATTTCATATACTTGATTTGCAATTCTGCTTACTTTTATTCCTTCACTTTCAAGAAAAATCTTTTCCAGTTTTGAGGCTCATGTAATTCTCCTATATAATTTTCTATCACCCTTTATGTGCTAGTTACCAATTTTACTGTCTATCAGTTCCAAATCCACCCTATTTTGCTCTGCTTTGTGACATAGAGCTAGGTCTTTTATTTCTCCTTTGCCAGCTGGCACGGTGTTAGGTTTGGTCAACAGGAAAACATTTCCCATCTGGATTTCTTTCAGCCCTCCATTTACTCAGTATGTGTGCCTAGTAGTCCTCAGAGACCGGCTCCAGCCCCGTGGTCGGCCTTCCATAGGCTCTCCCTGTGCAACAGTAGGGGCTAAAGCTCTCTGGCAAGTTTCTTTGTCACAGGCAGCTTGTGTATTCATTCCTGTGATAACCACATCCTCTTTGCTCCAAAAACCAAAGTCATGCCCATGAGTAGCTGCAGACTACGACTGGGGAGAAGTCCTCAGTGCCTTCACAGCCAACTTTCCTCAGCCCAGAGCTCCTTTTCTGCACAAACTACGTCATTACTGGATGACTGGCAAACATTGTCTGTAAAAGGCCAGGTAGTCAATATTTTAAGCTTTGTGGACTACAGTCTCTTGCAATCATTAAAGTACCAAAGCAGACATGGATAATAAGAAATGAATGAGCATGGCTGTGCTCCAATGATATGTTATTGATAAACTCTGGTAGCAGTCAGATTTAGTCCAGAAGCTATAGTTTGCCACTCCTGCCTAAAGAGTCCAACTTAAACACTGATTACTTAACTATTCTTTAAATACTTCTCTCTTCAAATAACCAGTCAAATTCCTGTCTCCAGCCTGGATCCGACTGACATACCTTACCACTCACACACAGACTTTACCACCATGGCTCATCATATTTTACTATATATTTATCTGACTTTTTACCCTAGCCGTAGGTCATGGAATAAGCCTCAGTAACACAAATACTCATGTGGAAAACTCCTAATTATCTGCAACATAAAACTGTGCCTAACAGAACGTCAACTACAGACAGTATCATACTTTGATCATATCCTTCCTTGCTTCTGTCTTCACACTCATTCAGACTAACCCTGTTCTTTGAGGCCAGGTACTTGCGGTACTTCTCTACTGCTTCGACAAGCAGCCGAGCAGTTTGAAAAAAGCCTCACAACCACGCAGTCAGTGGTGCGCAATTTCAGCAGGAACATGCATGCCATTTAACATTCCTTAACTTGCCTTTGGCCAGCTCTTTTCCATTCCCCCTAGAATACTAAACTGTTAATTCTAGCCTCAAAATTCCCATTGCCACTTTCATTTTTGCAAAATTAATTAACACCTTATCTGTAGAAAATTTAGGCCAGCAAATTTTTTGATATTTCCTGACGCTTCTCATTCCCTACTAAAATCTACCCAGGAGGAAACTACACAGACCTAATTGTGTTTAGTATCACCTCTCACACAGCCTTCGAGTTATTTGTTTCCATTCTTACTTCCCTCCCTCCATCCATTCCAGCTACAGACCTTGTGGGCTGTCTACATACCAGAAACTCTCCCTCCCTTGAGCCTCTCTCCCTGTCGTCGATAACCAGATGGCTTCTCTGCTCATATTCATCTTGTCAGTGAGGCCTCCTCTACCTACCTTATTTGACACTGAAACACAGCTCTCTCTTGCGCTTTTCTCTGTAGCACTCAACCATTAGACATGTTTTATTAGTTTATTTTATTGTCTGTTTCTTCCCACTAGAATATAAACTCTAAGGGGTGAGATTATAGTTCCGTTTTGTGTGTCGTTATATCCTCAGCATCTATACGGTGCCTCACAAAGAAGAGATGTTCAATATAATGAACATACGTACTTAGATGGTGATAATAATATTCCGTAAAGAAATTTAGGAATGATCCTATACTTTGTCCTCTTTTCACATCAATCCCCTAATCTTACCAGCTTTACCTCTTGAGTATTTTGTTCATTCATTTCCTCTTCTCACCTTCTCCACGTTCAGTATCTTTCACTTACACTGCTATACCTTCCACCTGACCCACTTCCTCAGTGTTCCCCCAGGGAGAAAGACGGGACCTCCTATTCCAGTGAAGAGTGACAGTCTCTGGAACCCAAGTGGCAGTCAGTTCTACTGTGCCCTATCAGGTCATTATGCGTCAGCATGGACTTAATGTCAGGGAGTCTGAGGTTGAGGTGGTCTCCCTAAACTGCTCCCTAGAATGGTCACATTCTTCTAGTCCTCAAGTGGCATCACTGAAAATAATTAAACATTTCATTCGCCTTCACCCTTGGCTAAAAAAACCTGAAGTGGCTAGCTACCAACCACCTAGCAAACATTTTCTGTAAAAGACCAAACAGTAACTACTCAACTCAAGCATTTGGGGTCTACATGCAGACAGATGTTATGTACACTAATGGGCAAAGCTGTGTTCCAATGAACTTCATTATTTAAGACTTGGCTCAGATAACACCTTTTTATTTTATTTATTTTTATTTTATTTTATTTTTGTTTGTTTGTTTGCTGTTACTTTTTTTTTTTTCCTTTAACATTTTATTAGGGGCTCATACAACTGTTATCCCAATCCATACACACATCAATTGTGTAAAGCGCATTTGCACATCGTTTCTCAAAACATTTTCTCTCCGTTGAAACCCCCGACATTAGGTCCTCATTTTTCCCCTCCCTCCCCCTCCCTCCTCCCGCATGAGCCCTTGATAGTTTATAAATGGGTATTTTGTCATATCTTGCCCTGTCCGACGTCTCCCTTCATCCACTTTTTGGTTGTCTGTCCCCCAGGGAGGAGGTCACACACAGTTCCATGTAATCGGTTCCCAGATAACATCTTTTTAAAGAAGCTTTCCATGAACTCTCAATTGCTCCTGCCTTTTTACAATCACCACACTGGATTGATATTTTGTTTGAATCTCCACTGTTTATAATCTCCTGGTCAGTAGTGGCTAAATCACTCACTTTCATAATCTAGCATATTGTAAGGATTCAATAAGTGCTTTTTAAATTGAACTAAAGATTCCTCTATGTAATGAAACTAAAGTGAGGGTAACCATGTTGACTCAAATATTAATGAGGATTTTTGATAAAAATTTGGGTCAAAAATTAGACATAAAAAATCAAGAATATAATTTAAATGTAAAAATTTAAAAACTTGGGGAGAAAATAGAAAAGATTCCCCTCTGAGACTAGTGAGCAAGCTGTGAGCCAGCACCATGGGATGCTGGAGCCACCCCAGCCTGTTGCCTGTCACCCGGCTTGTTGAACAGTCTGGACTTTAAACATTTCTGTTTGCATTTTTGTAACTTTGTAGTGTTTGGGTTGTGTTTGTACAAATGTGCTTTACATAATTGATGTATGTATGGATTGTGATAAGAGTTGTATGAGCCCCTAATAAAACGATAAAAAAAAAATCTTTATAGAACCAAACAGCCTCATCTTTCTCCTGAGGAACAGCTGAGGACCTTGCAGTTCATTGTCCAATGCTTATCCGAGAACACCATCAGAGCTCTTTAAATAGTCCTTCTAAAATATTTAGTTCAAAGCCAACACTAAATAGTCCTTCTGAAATACTTAATTCAAAGCCAACACTACTGTTTAACAGTGAACAGAGAAAAGAATCTTAAAGTCATAATGTCAAAATTTGAATCAAACTTACTTCAACTTGAAGAGCCAAGTCCACTTGGTTGTGGTAAGAATCTAAGAGTTCTTCAACAGGATGTCTAAAATAAAAAAAAAAGTTATATTCAACATTTTGATGTTATATACAAAAATTACTATTTTAATCTTCAAAATAAATAGATCCAATGTATGAATGGATTGTGAAGAGTTGTGTGAGCCCCCACCCCCAAAATCATTTAAAATAAACACACCCAAAAACAAAGTTTGAAAACCTACAATTATGCTTTACATAGCATACCTTGTCATAACTTCTTTATATGGTTTTTCTATTTGGTACAGGTGTTTGTTTAAATCCACAGGTGTTTCATCATCTTCTGCCTAAACATACACATATACACAAATGTTTACCATAAAAATCAAATGTATTCTTTGATCTTCTATTGCTAAATTAAATATGGCATAAGTGTAAGCCCCCCAAATCTAAACCCATTGCCATCGAGTTGAGCTCAATTCATAGACCACCCAGGACAGAACAGGCTAACCTGTGGGGTTCCCAAGGCTGTCAATCTTTACAGAAGCAGACTGCTATATTTTTATCCCAAAAAGTGACTGAGGGGTTCAAACTGCCCACCTTTCAGTTAGCAGTTGAGCTCTTTAACCACTGTGCCAATAGGGCTCTTTGGCATAAGTATATGATAAACAAAACTTTAAAATAAAATGTGAAATTTCAAAATGGAAGATAAACATGCAGGAAAAAAGGTGAGTTGATACTATAAAAGAAAATAATGCAAGAATATAAAAAGCTTTTTTGTCGAATTTTTAATACCCAAAATAGCGTCTAAAACAAAAACCACATTTATTCAATATAAATATGGCTGACAGTCAGATGAAGGTATGTTGGAAACCTGATAGAGATAGGCCATCTAGAGTTGTACATAACTTTTTCTATTAATAATTAAGTCTGCTCCCCCTCACCACTGCCCTTAACAGGGTAATGGTCTCTTCTAGTATACAAGTCCTGGCTATGCAATTTTTCCTAAAGAAATGGAAAAGTTACCAATGACTGATTACTAAAAATGTACTGCAATTTGTGAAATTTCCATTCAACTTGAAATAGAAAATCAAGTTTCTGTTCTCTATTTTACAGAGGATCATCTCAAGAAAGAAAAGAAAAAGAATAAATGAATGGTATTTTCCCATCCAAAATGCTACCGAATGAAGGCTAATTCTCTTTACAGTTCATTAAAATTTTATTTATAAATGCATCAAAAGTATGTAACTTCACAATAACTTCATTTCCTACATTCTATTTTGACTAATCAAAAAAAATTACTGTACTTTAAAAATAGAGAATTAGTTTTTACTTCATGAAAAATGTATTCTTAAAAAAAGAAAAATGTATTCTTTCAGTTAGGTGCAATGGTCGATATGGATCTTTATTTCTGAAACCCATAGTTAACATTCTAAATATTTTCTTCTCCTTTTGACAGGCTCCAGAAATAACTCTTGTATTAAACAAACTTTTAATTTCTCCACTTCAATTTTCAAATTGGTTCTAGGCTGAGTATCATGAAAACTAAGCCTCAATGATTGAAAATCTCCCTGCTTGCAGAAGACTCCTGTGAAGGATAGGGCTCAGATCTCATTAACCTAGAAATCTTGGAAACTGTAAAAACTGCAAGTTGGCTAATTAGCAGAATTATTTCTGAATAACACTATCACAGAGACAAATTATGCAGATTTGACTAAATGTACTTTAATTACAAGGTCAACTTACTGTCCGGGCCAGATTTTGACACATTGCACTGAAGGTCAAAAGTTGTAGTTTAATCTCTGTATCCCATTTTCGACAGTTTTGAATATATTCGTGACTTCCAAGGCAGTGACTACTGTTAAGAATACATTATTTACTCATCAATATTACTCTACTCAAGCTATCAATTACAGAGGTGAGAGTCAAATATAAATTGTATCTGTGTCAGAAAGAGAAGAAAATGGCAAAATACAGAAGCAATCTTATAACCAAGATGAACAAAGGAATACGCTTTACGAAAAGAATCAAAGCAAAGAAGGAAGAAAGAAGAAAACATTGCAGATGAAGACAAAGACAAAGAAGGCAGGGCGTGTGAAGTACACAGAAGAATGGCAGCTGCCTCAAAACTAGACTAACAGCAAGACATAACAAATCACTTCATTAACAAAAGACATGTAAAACATAAATTTAAATGAAGCAAAGCATATTTAAATCCCCTCAAAAGTACTTCTAAAATTTTTAAAGGAAAGATTAATGTAATGACGTTCAGGGAACTACATAAATTACAGCTGACTCTAAAATAACAGTACATGCTACCAAATGTAATGATGTGTATGTGACTATGTATTATTTTCTTTAGAAAATGCAATGAATTAGCTTTATTAGTCAAATGTCTACCATGCATCTTACTTATCCCTGAAATTTTTCCACCACACCGCAATGCCTTAGACACAGTATGTCTGAATACAAGTTTTTAGAATCAATGAACCAATTCAATAGGACTCAATGTCATTTTGGACTAAAAAGTTAACTTGAAAAATGTTTAGCGCAAGTCATTAGAAATAGATCCAAGGTTATTATTTAGTAGTTAAATGGATGAACTTACTTCTGCAGCACTTCCTCTTGCCCACAAACTTTCAGAACATAGCTGCCAACATCTACTTGATTCAAATCATCATGCACCCAGCAAAGGGCTTGCATTATGATGATTTCTACAGTAGAACTCACTGCAAAAGAGTTAATCGTCGTTTTTGTTTTGCTCATCTCACTCCAAAGCAAACTTATTTACATTGTATTACACAGGGCATTATACAACAGAAATACATGAGTGACAAATGCACACCAATATATAACTTTAAATTTCCTGTTTCCACATTGAAATAAGTGAAGCAATTTTAATAATATACCCATGTGTAATTGAACATATCCAAAATATTATCACTTCAACATATAATCAATATAAAATATTAATGTGGTATTTAGCATTCTCTTTTTGAACTAATTCAGCGAGTATTTTACACTCATAACAATCTCAATCCAGATTACCACATTTCAAGTGTTCAGTAGCCATGTGTGGGTAGTGGCTACGATACTGGATGGTGTACATCCAAGCTAAGAAAGGCATCTACTGACTACAGACACCTTTAAAAGGTTAACATTTAACTGTCTAGCAAACATTAATTTATAATATATTGTGAGGAAAAATAAATTCTCTAAGTTTTTATATTTGCCTGGCAAAATCTCAAGCCATGAATAAAAATACAGCAAAAGTATACCAAAACACAATCAAACTCACTGCCACTAGTTGATTCTGACTTATCATAACTCTGGTACAGAGTAGACCCGCCTCTCTGGATTTCCAAGGCTATGTATACATCTCCAAGGGAGTAGAAAGCTTCATCTTTCTCCCACAGCAAGTATACAGTACTGCTTATCATTTTTAGCACTAGCTGGATACTAAGATTACAACAGATTAAGAATAAAAATCCTTTCATCTATTGCAACATTTATGTTCAAGTTTAAAAGGGCAGCTCATTGCATTCCAAACTCATTAAAAGTTTTGGAGAAGAAGCATTAAATCCCTACTTACCTAATATAATGACTGTATTTCTGAGTAGTCACATATAAGGCAAGATTTACTTTTTGAGCACATACACTACTCCCACTATAATGTGGTTACATTTCTTAGAAAAGGTGCATACTATAAACACTCATGGCTTTTCTGAAATAAACAATAGGTATTTAAAATATTTTTTTGAGATTAGTCCGATTTTGATAAAATAAGTAAAGCTATGATACAAATCAGTTACCAATGCTTACTTACCGGGTATGCTTATTTCAATAAAGACGCTTATTACCTTTTTTCAATGACTAATGTCTTACTATATGCCTATGCCTATATGCCTATGATTTTAAAAGTCAATTTTAGTATATGTTTAAAAAGAATAATTCTTCATTTAGAAATCAAAGAGTGATCATTAGAGATGGATAAAATCTTTTATGTTTCCAATTGTTTTTCAAAGGGCCTTGAAAGGTACAAAATTAGAAGCAATATTAGACATATTGGTAAGTTTTATGGGGAAAAAATGGAATAAAATCTAGAGCCAAGTATTGTGAAAATATAGGACACTATTCCACGGTTGGGATTCTATTAAAATATTATACAAGGGTGTGGCATACGATTTTGTGCCAACTGAATTTTTATGAAAGTGTAGGGGTAGAGTCGAACCTGTCAATCAGGTCACAGCCTGATGATGCTTCCTTGGGGTTGTAGCCTTCTTAGAAGAAACTGGAAACTTCTCTCTCTCTCTCTCTCTTTCTCTCTCTCCTCCTTCCCCTCCCCCCTCTCCCTGTCTTTGCAACTTCACCTTCCTTGTCTAGTAGGCTTTGCCTCCAGAGGTGGCCCCATATGGGCCAGCCAACCATCAGAGCTGTCAATGCCTTGCCACATTTCTACTGACCTTGGTTCCATGAGACTGCTCCCACTGGCCAGTGATCTTCCTGCATTCAGTATCACCTTTCCGAAAAGGAGCCTGCAGCTACGTGAGTCTGTAGAGGGTCCTAACTTGTGTGCTTGAGTTGGACTTGGGCTGAGATGCCTTCTTTTAAAGATTACTTGTTGATAATAGCTCTTTCTTGTGCATGAGTGTCACTGATTTTGCTTCTCTAGACAACCTGGTCTAACCCAAAAGGTAAGTCAAAATCTTGATAGGATGCCTTCATAAAGGTCCAATCAAAACAATGGACTCCAAGGGGGTCGGCTGGGCCAGCTAAATTCAAAGTTAGGGGAACTTTGGGGGAAATGCCAGAGAGGTAATCTTAAAGGACACAGGATGATCACTAGGGCTTATTCTGAAGATGATCAATAGTGCCTATTATGAAGTAGTTTGGCATTGGTGAGGAAAAGCCAGGGAAGTTTCGAAGGAGGAGCATTTGCCATCACAACAATGCACCTGCTCATTTTTCGAGGGACCAAGGATTTTCCTATGAGAATTTTGATGGGAAACCTTACCTTTACCATACAACCCTAATCTTGCCTCTTTAAACATCCTTTTGTTCCCCAAACTCAAGGAAAATGTTAAAGAAAAATAATTTGAGTCTCTCATAGGACGTCAACACCATCAGGGCAGTTCTAACCTGACCTTTAGAGTAGACATGAGTGAAAATCAACTCTATGGCATCGCTGCTTGTTTGTTTTGTCTTTGTAACATATCAAAGAGTGTAGAATTCTTCAGTAAGGGTTAGAGAACTAGAAATACCACCTTCAGAAAAAGATAGCTTTGGATGGAGGCTCTATCAAAAAACAGTAACTTTACATTTTTATCTAATGAAGTTTTCTATGGCTTTGTAGCAGAACTTTTTGACTTACCCCTCTATACATGAAGTGCAATAAGCTCTGAAATAAAAGTTTTAAAGAGAAATGAAACTTTCCTGACATATTTTGAGACATATTCCTAGAAAGGATACACTCACCAAGCTTGGAAAAAGGAACTAGAGCCAAAGAAGAGTCAGCTTCTCCTTTGAGGAGTGGAGAGTAAAATACCTGTCCCCAATTTCACTAACCGCTCTTTATAAACAAGGTCCTTCTTGCCATAAAATGAAAAACATAAAGAATTAGAATATTCTTTTGCATCTAATGCTTTTGGGCCTCTGCCACGAGTCCAGTACAATTACCCAATGCTACTCAGTACTTTTTAACGAGATGTGTAGTTAGTATAAAGGTAGTCCTATTTTCCCACTTGTCCTAACGAGAAAACTATCTATCAAATGACAATTTTTGAAAGGATGCTTGTAAGGATAACATACAGTTAGTTTATTAAAAATAATATTAACATTTTGAATATTTATATCCTGAATTAGAGCAAAACAGATGTTTGGTAACTTTAAACATACCATCACATGTAAAAGTAACTGGCAGTTGGAATCCTTCAATTTCAATGGAGACCTTCACACTTGCATTTTCTCCACGTATGTTTCGCTGCACTGTGACTGGACTTAACAAATAACCTGGGTTTGTGCTGTGGTTGGTATATGGAAAGTTGGTCCTCAATCTGTTCACAAGAAATTAAGTTCATTTTAATAGGGGCACTTGAGAACCTTGAACAAAAGCTTTACAAGCTTACAGCCATTCAATTCTGTTTTTATCCAATTCTAGAGAGGCTCATGAGAACTGCAATGAATAAACTCATGTCAAAAAGCCAAACATCATCATTTGCCTTTTTAAGTACAAGGAGCCAAAGGAAAAAGAAGAGATTAAGGATTGCCATAGTATCTTTGATTACATTATCAACATTAACCAAGCACATACTCGATCTGTTATCAAATGAAGTTCTCAACTTCAGACTTCTTTCTCTTATCATACAGTATGTGTACATATAATGGTACCATTTAAAGGAATCAGTAACAATAGACAATGAAGCCCGGAAATTATTTGCTTTCTTTGATACTGCTTTTAAATAATCCTATATAAGAACCTTCAACTTACATTATGTTTGAAACAATGAATTAAACATAAACAGTGAGTTTTGACAGCACTACCGGGCTTTTATGACCTCCCTCAAAGTGATTTCTAAAACTTAAGAGCAAGAATTGTGTGTGAAGCTATTCATGGCTTTAAAAGCAACACAGTTTAAATCGAAATACAGTATCTACAAGGTCTTAATTCCCTCAAAGTGTTTCTTAAAATTTTGGAAACATCAAGAATTGGATAAAAAAAATTGATGGGATTAAGCAGATACAGAAAGGGCTCATTTAAAGAAAAAGAAATGAAGCTTGATATTCTTACATGATTACCTACAGAGGTCTTTTTATTAACTTGAATTTGAATTTTCTCTAAAACTTTAATTTATCAGCAACAGTGGGGAAAAGACGGTTGCAAATTTAGCATTTATGTGTTTAAAGCTAAAGCTTGGAAAATGCAGTCTCTATGTATGCATATACTACAATCCTTTAGGGTTTACTCCGCCACTCTCTGCTCAATCAAATTAAGTTCTGTAGAACCAAAACCAACCCATGTAAAAACAAGATATGAGATAAAAATGTGGGTTTTCAAAAGTTTTTAATGGAATTAACACTATTTTATAGGAAAGTATAGCCAACAATTTTTTTTTTTTTGGCTTGGTTCATATTTTTTGTTTGTTTGTTTTGTTTTGTTTGTTTTTTTAACATTTTATTAGGGGCTCATACAACTGTTATCCCAATCCATACACACATCAATTGTGTAAAGCGCATTTGTACATCGTTTCTCAAAACATTTTCTCTCCATTTAAACCCCCGACATTAGGTCCTCATTTTTCCCCTCCCTCCCCGCTCCCCCCTCCCGCATGAGCCCTTGATATAGTTTATAAATGGGTATTTTGTCATATCTTGCCCTGTCCGACGTCTCCCTTCATCCACTTTTTGGTTGTCTGTCCCCCAGGGAGGAGGTCACACACAGTTCCATGTAATCGGTTCCCTCTTCCCTACCCATTCTCCCTTTACCCTCCCTGTTTTGCCACTCACACCACTGGTCCTATAGGGCTCATCCGTCCTGGATTCCCTGTATTTTCAGTTCCTATCTGTACCAGTGTACCTCCTCTGGTCTAGCCAGTCTTGCAAGATAGAATTCGAGTCATGGTAGTGGGAGCGGGGAGGAAACCTTTAGGAACTAGAGGAAAGGTTGTATTTCTCATCATTGTTACATCGCACCGTGACTGGCTCATCTCCTCCCCTAGACCCCTCTGCAAGGGGAAGCCAACAATTTTTATAACTAAATGTACAGATGAAGCCCCGAAAAACAAACAGAAAATAATTGGAGTCAAAATACTATCAGTGGAATCTAAATCAGATATAAATACATCAAAAAGGCTATCTTATCTCAGGGTCCACAAATAAAGTGGTATAAACTTCTACTGGTATTTGCCATTCCTATACAGAGAACTTTCTCTCTATCTGTAACGGGTAAGCATTAAGACGCTCTTATAATTATGATAAATGTGAAAAGACGAGAAACAAGAAATGACGACCAGAGAGACACTGTAATAGTGAAATGTTGTATGAAATTTTAAACGGAAAGAGATGTTAGAGATTATCTACACTCCACTCTCTAATTTCACAGATACAAAATAAAACTATAGAAGATATGGCCCAGAACTAATACAAAATCTTAAATCTGTCAGACAGAATTTTACCTGTAAATAAATAGCATCCTGACAGCCTGTCACTATTATTGCATAAATGAATTTAAAAGATAAAATGTATAAATTTAGAAGATTCCAAAAAGAAAGACATTAGCTCTCTAATTTATAAAAACATTTGTTTTAAAAACCATTGCAAAATTGATAATGCTGGACAAAAATAGGAATTTCTCTTGAACCCTATCTCCATGAACACAGGAGAACTGAGAGGCCCGGAACATAGCTCACAAAGCAGCTCTATTACCGCAGCTCTGACAAATATTTGCTGCACTCATACACCATTAACGGAAATATAATAAACAACTCTTTCCATGTTTAGCCCATTTTTAATTTCATACTATATTAGCATTCAATAACACACACATAACAAATACACATGCATATGCCAACAACCAATTGCCACGGAATTGATTCTGACTCAAGGGAGCCCCATATATGTCCAAACAAAACTCTGCTCTAGAGAGTTTTAATAGCTGATTTTTCAGAAGTACCGTAGATTGTAGGCTTTTCTTCCAATGTGCCTCTGGGTGAACTCAAACTTCCTACCTTTCAGTTAGCAGCCAACTGTGTTGTTAGTGTACCTTCTTAGTCTTGTTAAGGTACCTTAAGAAATATCTAATAAAAACTGTGGCTCCCAATGAGTTCTGCTGGGCCAGTTAAATTCAAGACAGGGAGGTTAGAGGCTCAGAAGGTTATAATGACAGTTTTTAGAGATCTTGAAGGGCAATCTTGGTAGATTTTCTCAAAGGATAGGAAACTATTATAGGGCATAGTAAAAAAAGTTTTATGTAAACTGGAAACTGTAATGGAGAAAAGGCCAGGAAATCTGTGCCAATGAATTATGTTTTCCATCACAGCAATGCACTCGCTCATTCTTCAAGGATACTAAGGGCTGTCCTAAAAGAGTTTCATTGGGAAATCTTACTCCATTCACATTTTCACAGTTGTTGGTTTTTTTGTCTTGTTTTTTAATGTTCCCCAAACTAAAAAAAAAACATACTTCAAGAGAACACAGTTTAAGTCCTCTGAGGATGCCAGTTTGTTTTGATATGATGTATATATAGCCAACTGTGTAGAATTCTTCAGGGAAGAGAGACTGTTCAGACATATATAATTCTAGATAGAGGGTATATGTTGGGAAACAGTAACTTCATGTTTTAATAGTTTTGTAGCAATACTATTCAACTTACTCATATATAAAACATCATTTTCACTTAGTGGCAGTGTTTTCAGAAAAAGTTCTAAGAAAGAAAGTGAACACAAAAAAAGAGCAGATCACAGAGTCTGCTTTCTCAACTTACACAGCGTAAACCCAACAGTCCCTCAGTACCACGTAATAATGCTCCAGGGCTGACGTGGGAGAGAAGATTAAAGAAACTAAATGAAAGCAATCCAGATTGTTTCTTAAACACAAGGTAACATTTCTAATCTGTTAACCAGAATACACCTAAAAAATAGGCATAGGTAGTCTTAATAAATGCAATTCACAATATTAAGTCAGCTAAATACCCCTTCTTTTCATATACCTTGGCTCACAGAAAAACCTCAGTGAAAATACCTAAGTAATTTTATGCAGGAAAAAATGGCTCTAATGATTTCCCCCCCTTTTTCCTAAGGTATTATAAAGAAGAGCAATGTTAGTTAAAAGGTAACATAATGAAGGCAATGTTTAAAAAAATTCATTAGCAAATGTCTAGAACAGTGTTTCTCAAAGTGGGCAGTATTCCTGGGAGGAAAGGGGCAGGGGGTCGTGGTGCTGGAACAATACAGTGGGGCTTTCTCCTGGAATATGGACTAAAGTACAAAAGCTTTTAATTGCCAGAGGGGTGAGCTGAGTTGTGGGGTTTTTTGTTTGGTTGGTTTTTTGTTTGTTTTCTCTGAAAAGGGACAGTAAATCAAGTAAATTTAGAAACCTATGGGAAAATCTAGCTAAATATTAATGTCTAAATCCTTTAGCAATAAAATGATGTACATCATCTGGGAGTCTTCCAAACCATAATATGCTTGAACAGACCACACTGAGAAAAAGGCTAGATTCAGAATAGACCCTTCAGTGGGGACTTAGTTTCTCTTTTGATAAGAGATCTCATTCCTTTGGCCACACAATGATTATTGCTCCAGTCAGGCTAATTTCTGTCTTTTAAGGGGATTTTTTCTATCTGGTGCTGGCCTATAAGGTCTCCCTTTCTTCTTGGCTGACAAGATCATTAGAATATGCAGTCTAAAATATCAGCAGCTCCGTGCCTGCCTTCAAAAGCTCCCTATTCAATAGAAGAAATGAAAAACAGTATAAATGGAGAAAAGGTAGTGAGAACAAAGGGAAAATGGAAATGGAAAGGTAGTGGAAAGGGGGAGTTTGAAGGGAGAAGAGATGAATACCTCGCTGTATGTGAGTTATTGTACCGCTCTAACATCAACCTCTGCCCCATCTTCTTTCTGCTATATGAATTTGTGAGTCAATACATGACCCTTCTTGATTTGAGCTAGTCCAAGATGGATTTTAGCACTTATAACTTGATTAAGTGATATAATGGAAATAAAACACACTTAAAGAAGACTTGGCCCAATTATTGACTAAGTGAATAAACCTTTAGAGATTAGATTGCTAATCTCTGAGTTCCAGTATCTATAAAAGAAGACTATTTTGGTCCATTTAAGACTGGAAGAGGTGGGGAGCAGGGATAGTCAAAATAAGGAAAAAAATCTGGGAGAATATTCTAGAAACAATTTTTCTAGTTCTTAAAAGAACGCATTTCCTTCTTAATCTTGACTATTATAATTTAATCATATAAATCAGTAGGTCTATATTTTGAATGCCATAAAGTTTCACGGCATTAAAAATCAAGAATACGCATATACACAAAAAGCAACAGTTTTTTGATGATAACCAAGGATGGGAAGGAGGAAGAGGGGGAACCATAATCTAGATAGTAGGCACATGCTATTTTTGGTGATAGGGGAGGCAATTCTCAATATTGGTGTAGTCTGCACAACTTGACAAAGGCAAACGAGGACATTAAGATGTACAAATAAAAAAAAAAAGATGTACAAATAAGAGTTGTATGCGCCCCTAATAAAACGATTAAAAAAAAAGATGTACGAATATGGAATTTTAGTGAATGCTATAACATATGTAATTTTACAACAGTAATTTAAAAAAATGAGAGTGGTTACAAAGTATATACACATGTGTATAAGAAAGTAAATGTGAGTATGTATAACTCTGTAGGCTTATGTTTGCGTTGCATATTACACGCATATATATAAAATAAAGCACTGAAGGGGCACTTCCTAAACTTCCTAGGTATATCTTGAGAGACTGGCTTACTGGGTTAAAAAGCTTAGGACCATTTTTCATGGGACAACTCAGTCAACTGGCATAACGTAGCTTATAAAAATAATATTCTATTTCTTAGTTTGTTGAGTACTACCTGGGGTCTTAAAAGCTTACAGGTGGCCATCTAACATACAATCATTGGTTTCTATTAATTTGAAGCAAAAGAGAAAGGAGGAAGCCAAAGTCTTGAAAGAAGAAATTAGACTAGAGAACTAATCACCCACATAATCCATGGGCTCTTCTAGCCTGAGACCAGAAGAACTAGGTGGTGGCCTGGCTACCACTATGGACAGACCAGGGATAGAATAGAAAACCCTGAATGGAATGGGAATAAAATGTAGAACAAAATTCACATTTCCAGTTATAACTATCAACTGCTCTGAAATGGTTCACATTACAAGGCCCTGGATAGAGTGTGAAAAAAACATGGAACAAAACTAAAAATTCTAAAAAGAACAGGCTTACTACTTACTCATGGAACCCTGAGACTATAGCCCTTAGTCACACATCAGGTCTGGATGGTTATGAACTGGCCCCCATGCCTCAATTTGCAACCAAACAATAAATAGATCTGTAAGGGGTGCATTAACAGAGAGGTATGCATACCTTAGAATAATCAACCATTAGAGATTAAAAGAGTAGCATTTACCCAAGGACAAAGTTCAGAAAGGCTAGGAACAAAGGAGAAATGGACCCAGAAAATGCAGGGAAGAGGTAGGTTAAGTGATGTTTTATTGTGGGCATTACAATCAATTAGATTTAACAAAACGTATATGAACTGCTGAATGGAAAAAAATCTGTAAACCCTTACCCAATTCACAAGAAAATGTTTTAAAAACTCAAATTCCTAAAAATAAAAAGGTGTCAGAAGACCCAAAACAAACAAATATATTGATGCAAATGATGGGGGTCTGAGAGGAGACCCAAAGCCCATCTATAGACAACTGGACAGTCCCTCACAAAAAGGTAACAAGGAAGAACAAGTCAGCCAGGGTGCAGCATAGCACCGATGGAACATACAACATTCCTCTAGTACAGCGATTCTCAACCTGTGGGTTCAAACAACCCTTTCACAGGGGTAGCCAAAGACCATTGGAAAACACTATTTCTTATGGTCTTAGGAACTGAGACACTAGACACTGCTCCTCTATGCATCTCCAGGCGGGTCCACCCACCTGCAGATACACCCACATCTGACTGTTTGTTACCCATGCTACACGACAAAATTTCATTTATTTGTAATTAGAAATAAATATTTCACAATATATAATTATATATTGTTTTGTGATTAATAATTATGCTTTAATTATGTTCAATTTTTAACAATGAAAATACATCCTGCATATCAGATATTTACATTACTATGCATAACAGTAGCAAAATTACAGTTATGAAGTAGCAATGAAAATAATTTTATGGTTGGGGGTCACCACAACATGATGAACTGTATTAAAGGGTCATGGCATTAGGAAGTTTGACAACCACTGCTCTAGTACTTTAATAGTTCCTCTCCCCCACTACCATGACCCCAGTCCTGCCTTAAAAATCCAGCTACACTGGAGCATGTACACTGGTACAGATAGAGCTCTCGACACACGCAATCCAGGACAGATAAACCCCCTCAGGAACAGTAATGGGAGTAGAAGAAAGGTGGGGGGAGAAGGGGGAGAAGTAGGGAGCCGACTAAAATGATCGATGTAAAACCACCCCCCAGGGGGACAAACAACAGAAACATGGTAAAGGGAGACAGCGGATGGTATAAGGTATGAAAACATTAACAATTTATAATTTATCAGGGCTCCATGAGGGAGGGTAAAAAGAGAAGCTAATACCAAGGGCTCAAGCAGAAAGAAAATGATGATGGCAACATATGTACCAATGTGTTTGATGCAATTGATGTGTGGATTGTTATAAGAGCTTTAAGAGCCCCTGATAAAATGATTTATTAATGAAAAAAAACGTTTTTTAAATGGAGACGCTTTACTAGACCAACAGAGACTAGACGAACCCCTGGGACTTAGAAGTGAAGTCACTCCTCCAGGTCACAGTTCAGCCAAATTGGCTTGTGAAAGAAACATGATCATCCATGAGTAATGTGCTTCATTAAACAATCAACTAAATGAGACCAAATGGTCAACACTACCCAAAAGCAAAGATGAAATGGCAAGGACAGGCAGGGGAGCAAGATCAACAGAAACAACAAACAAAATGGAAACAAGAATTTTGACACATGGTGAAAATTTTAACCAGAATTGTATAAAACTTGTTAAATGCAAGCTTAATTTGCTGGGTAAATGTTCACCTAAAATAAAATAGATTATTTTGTAAAGAAAATAAAACCACACAAAAGTTTATGAAAATGTTTTAAGGACACAAAATTAAGTCTCCCTAAAACAAATTTTTTAAACACGTAATATTTTTAATGGTTAATAAACTACCAGAAGTTCAGCCAACTTCAATTTTTTCTTCCCTTTTGTTTTATTGTGGTAAAAACACACACCCAGTCTGTCTAACCTCAATTTTTTCTTCTAAATCCTCAAAACTTCAAGTTAGGGCTACAGGTTCTAAAGTACAAATTAATTTTCTGTGTCAGAGTTTTAGCCACAGGGGGGAAAATAAGAAAAATTTTAGAATTTCGGAATTAACATAATATTAAAATATTTAAACATGCATTTAATTATAATTTATAAAGAAAATTCCTTACTTTGTAATTGATTGACAAAAAGCTGCCACCTCCTCATTCTGTACTTCAATTTCTTGCAGAAGAGAACTTCCAGTTGGCAAACTACTGGTCCCAATCGGATCTTTCTAAAACAACAGTAATAAAATGTTTTTATTTAAAAAGTGAAAGTTCCCCAAACAGCTACATAGCAGCACAGCACAAACACATTTCAATGAAAATATGTATAAAGATATGGCAGTAATATCAATCATATTAGTAAAAAGTTTAAAATTATTGACTTCTATATTTTTAATAGTAAGGACAATTAAGCCTAATTTAAATTCATTGGTTTTACTAGCTCAAAAGCAGAAACAGGCTATACTCTGTCAGTAAGAACAGAATGCCAAAACTTTCCATTAAAAATCCTCCTGAAATGAATGCTTCAAAAATGTAACAGTAAAATTAAATTAAAAGACTAATTCTGGATGCACATGGAAGACAACAGGGGAGGAGGTGGGGAAAGGAAACAAAAAAAAATGATGAAAATAAGGAAGAAAT